TTTTTAATATTAAAATATAAGTATTTATTTATCTATTAATATTAAAATTATTAATTACTAGTATTTATATTTTAAAAATATAAAAATTTCATTTGTAATTATCAACTTTAACATAATTAAATAAAAAAAGAATTAAAGCTCTATAAAAATATCAAAAAAAAAGAGAGAAACAATACTTTTTTAAAGAAAATGTCTTTTTTAGTCATTTTAAGATGGTTAAATCCCTAATTTGGTCCCTAAATTATTGTATGGACCTCTTATTTGATCCTTAAACTAAAAAAATTCCTGATTTGGTCCCTAAACTATTATACGGACCCCAATTTAGTCCTTACTGTTTACCAATTTACCTCAAATTAGTCTTTCCGTACAAAAAAAAGTTGTCATATATAGTATTTAATGGCAAAAAATAATAATTTAACGGTAAAAAACAATGACTTAAAGGTCATGTATCACGTTAATAACGAGATATGCCAATTGTTTTTGTATAGAAAGACCAACTTGGGGTAAATTAGTAAACAATAGGGACCAAATCGAGGATCCGTACAATAGTTTAGGGACCAAATTAAGAATTTTTTTAATTTAAGGACCAAATCGAGAGTTTATACAATAATTTAATGATCAAATTAAAAATTTAACCTTTTAAGATTAAAAAATATTTTATAAAAAATTTACCAAATAACTTTATATTCTATAACTTCTTCAATTAAAAATTTTATCGAAAACTTTTAACTTTTCAAAAATATGATTTCCCCAATAAATTCTTTTAAACAAAACTTCTACTTAAAACTTCAATCATATCTAACGTGCCCTTAGTGGGAAACGACCATTGGGAAAACAGTATATATGTTAGGCCAAAGCCCCTATTTGCACCCTCCACTTATTTTTTTTCCGCGGTCAACACCTTCCAGAATTTTTTCTCCCTATTTACACCCTCCACTTTTCAAAACCCGTGAAAAACCCAATATTTTAACGGGCCGTCACGGCATCGTTAAAAAATGCACTATGTGGCACCCAGAATTTGACGTGGCACATGCGGCGTTTTCTTATTCGTTAGGTTCATACGTGGATCTCCTTTTTGATGATGTGGCGTCCACGTGTGCAGTGGGGCCCACTGCGCGGGACTTTTCCCGCTTGTCCCCGCGTCCCACCCAAAAAAAAAAAAACAAAACAAAACCTAAAAACCTAAAAACCCAAAGATCTTAAAACAGATCTGCAAAACCATTTTGGGGATTTAGGGTTTGTCTTCATTTTCCTCTTAATCCTCACTGAGCTTTTCCACGATCTTCCTCTTTCACTGTCTTCTCCTGAACCCAACCCCAATTTATGATAAGAGAGAAATGTCGAGGACATATGGAAATTCATTCTCACGAGGTTCTACTTCACGTGGTGCATCGACTTCGTCTAGCCGTCCTCTTTTCATCTTATATGATGGTATTCCCGAGTACGACTACCCACCACCCATTCGCCATTGTGACTGTGGTAAGTTTGCTCCACGGTGGACTGCATGGAGGGACTCAAATCCAGGTCGTCGCTTTTATGGATGTCTAGATTTTAGGGTGGGTTTCACTTTCAAAAAAATATTATTATTATTAATTTTTTGGCTTTCAGTTTTGAATAATGATTTTATATGCTCAATTTGGTTACA